GGGGGGCCGGGGGCGCGAGCGCGGCAGCTCGGTCACCTCAGGCGGGGCCCCTCCCGCGTCCTCCTGAGCTGCTTGTGGGGCACTCGGGGTTCAAAACCCCCATCTCCGTGTTCCTGTGAACCTCGGCCCTGGTTCTGAACCTGCTCCTCTCCCTGCTTGTTAAACTGAATAAAGATTATTAATTTTTTCCGCCTCACTCAAGTTATTTAACTTGCAAAGGAAGCGCTGCTCGTTGTAAGGTTAAAAAAAAATATTCAGCAGGGTTGGTAAGAAAAGTTTTCTCCGCTGTTCAGCAGTTCCCGTTCTCTTATTAATGGCATTTGTGTAGTTTATAACTGGGAATTCTCTTCTGAAATACCCTCTGGGAACAGGATTGCAGTTCTTCGCCACACGGAAAACCTGAGTGCAATTCTCCTTCAGGGATATGTCGAACCTCTGTCTTCCAGCAGGGACCTTCTGGTATTTTCCCCATGAACGTGGATACATCAGGCCAGGACTGCAATAACCACAGCTCAGCATAAACATCCAGAGGGAACAATCCCCAGTCCTGTGCTGGGAGACGCGGATATCCTCATCCACCTACAGCCCAGAGCTCTGTCTTTATGCACAGATTGGTCTGAAGAACCCAGTCCTGTTCTCTGGCCACCTCTCTCTGCCTCAGGGTTAAAGAGGAGCCACTCCTGGATGAGGAGTTGGAGAAATCTCTGTAAGTTGAGCAAAACTTCCTCTGATCAGACGTGCAAACAGTGGCAGCTGAACTACCTGCGGCAATTCCCCTGGTAGGTTGTTTGCTTTTAAATAAGTTTTGTCTGGAGAAAATAATAGAGGGAAAAAAGTAGGGGATGGATAACAAGGTACAAGGTGAAGAGAAAGGATAAATAATTCCAGAGAGCAGGCCTTAGATTCAAGGCGCAGGGCAGACTGGAAAAGCAAATGCTTTACAGTATCTTAAATACCTAGTGGTTTATTGCCTTGGCCCTTTGGGTGCCAAAACAATGGATGAAAGGATTGAGTGAGATGCACAAAACCAAAACAGAGAACTTGAGATCTAAGATTCAGCCTTCGTTTTAGCTCTAATTTGTCCTGAAACAGCGAAACGTTCCCAGCTTGGCCTCAGAGAGTGGTGCATTTCCAGCTATAGGCTGTGACGCAGAGCTCAGAGGTCCGTGAAAAGCCCCGTGAGGACATTCAGATCCCCACGACCCTCCCTGGAGCTGAAAATCAGCAGCTTTTGAAGACAAGGTTGAGAAGCTCCAAGGAGCAAATCCTGTTGCCCACTTCCTTCACCATCGCAGACATTCTGGAAGTGGCCTGGCTTGGCTTTCCAAGTGAAAGCCGCAACCAACAGCGCTGAATTACTTAAAAATTTATGTTTATTGTCCACGTGGTGAGCAGCTGAGCGAGCTGCTGGGGCTCCTCACAAGAAGAAAAATGCTTGTTGAATGAACCATTATCTGCCCCTGCCTTTTTTTTTTATTATTTTTTTTATATTTTTAATTTTAATTGAATGTGGGAGAGACAGGTTTGGAACTGCTTTTGGGTGATGGTAGAGGAACTTATCTCTTAAGTAATCTGGGGTGGTTCCAAAAGGCATTCCAGTTCTCAGAAAAATAGGTATTACTAGTCATTGCTTATATGCTGTGAGTTGAAAGATTAATAATTTTCTCTGCCAAAGTTTACAGGCAGCCTTTACCATGACAGTAGATCAAACACATGTACTTGCCTGGGCAGCTGACCTGGTTTGAACTCAGCAAGTGTTGCTCTGAACGATGACTACAGTTTTGGAACAAATACTCTGCTATGTTTTTTAAAGCAACCTTAACCTTGTAAAGCATTAACCAGCCTCTCAAGCCCATTTCAAGCACCTAGTACCCTTCATGCCTTGGTGAATTATTTAGAACCAGTATGTGTAAGCAGCCAGATGACAGAGCTGGATTGAGACAAGTGATAAGGGAATAGCTGGCTGTTCTGCAGCCAGACCCTCCCCTGAATAAGGGCAACTCCCAGCTGGTGCCAATGGGAGAAACAACCTGATCCTTCCATTTATTCCTTGGAACTCCATTCCTCTTCTTTTTTCACTTTTGGCTTGCATGCTGCAGAAAGACAGTTAGAAATAGCTGTTCTTACATGCTCAGGCTGTTTGATTTTGGAAGCTGGCATTGATTTTACTGGAGATAGAAGAGCACCCACGAGCACAGAATAAAACAGCCCATCCCCAGGCAGAGCTGGAACAGAAGGGAGGAGTGAAAGGAGCAGGAGCTGAGCATCTCCTCCTTATTCCAAGTTTCTATTGAAGTCAATGACCCAGATTTCTCTGATTTCAAATGCCTGTTTTCAGGGAGCTTGCTGGAGGCACGATGCAGGGGAAGGTCAGGCAGAATGTAGCCTGAAGTCATCAGGTTTAGCAGATCTGCATTTGTAGAACCTGATACTACTGAACACCCCTGTTCTTCAGTAAGGTCTGTGAAAACCATGGGAGTGACTGGTGCCCTGGGCTTCAGCCTCAAAAGGCTGCCCTAAGCCTGGGATCTCTTTCTGTCCTGTACTTCTGTGAGCAGTTCTGTGACATCCACCTTGCTCCCAGCTTTCCCTCTTAAGCAAAGAAGAAGGCAGAAATCCCAAACTAATTCCTAATCCCATGGGTTTAGATTATTTGGAATTCATAAACATGGTAAAACCTCTCTAATCATTGGCAAGAAAGCCTGACCTTCTGTGGAAAACTGGGAAAATTCCTACAGACAAAAATCAGGCTTCTAAACATAAAGGCATTAAATTCATTCTACATCTCTTTATGAAAGAATCATTGTAACTGCATTTATTTTTAAATGCAGCAAGTAGTGCAGAAATGCACATTATTAATCTGTATGCAATTGATCCGATAGGTTTAGATACATTAAGGTTTGCAGATGTTCGTTTGGTTTTCTTTTCCCTCTCTTATTTTTAGTTTACTCTCACTTTCAGTTCCATACAGGAGCAGAACAGGTTTCTGAGACTTCTGTTGGCCTGCAGCACCCATTCTTAGCCCAGCCAGGGTGATCCTGCCAAATTACCATCTTTCTCATGGCTCATTTTATCCTATTGAAATTTTTCGTCAGAAATTTCAGTTGAAAACTGGTTGCTATCTCAGTATCCGAATATGCACATTGAATATGTTAAGTATCAGTGTGCCAGGTTTCTCAGGTTTTTGGAAACCTACTTATGCAAATACCATAATGCAGCATAGAGACAGTCACAACCAATACTGTCTTAAGAGGCAAATGCACCCTGGATTCCCTGTGTGTATATCTCCCTACTGTATTTGATACAGAAATTCTGGTTAGATCTCTAAAGATTACAATTTAAAAGGGCTTGGAAAAAAAAGTATTAGTAACTGGCATTTTTTCAGCATATTTTCAAAGATAGAATCAGCTTTGGTGATAGAGAGCATCCCAAAGCTGGATTTCTGTCGTATGGCTCTGTGTTTATCCAGAGGAGAAGGAGGCATTTTCCTATAATCATATACTGGCTTTGTCTTACCAGCGTCTGGGGCCTGTGGTGCAGGAAGGAGCAGCTGCACCCTGGGGATTGTGATCCCAGGAAAGGGAGCAGATTCCCAGTGCTCCTGCCTCTCCTTTCCGCTGGAGTCAGCAGCTCTGCAGAAGACCCCTGCTCCCTTTCATCTTCTGACAGAGCAGACTAATTGCTAACGTCTCCTACAAGGACAGATGTGTGCAGAAAAGCTGTACACTAAAGGAGGTGCATAATATTTGCCATTTCAAGCAGCGTTTGGCTTTGTGCTGTCAGCTTTGTAAAGCTGCTTTTATGCATTGAAGTGAAATGTTCAAGTCACTTGAGATGAATACAATGGTAGCTGGCAGCTGGGGCACCCCAACCCTTCCAGGGACATACGGCCACAAGGAAGCACGGCAGCATTGCTATTGTTTGTTGCTTTATTCTGCCTCTGACTTCTTATATATTTTTTTTAATGTCATGGTTCCTTTTAAAATTATCTGCCCTGATCTGCAGTCATGTGGGTGCATAACTGACTGTATTTGGACTACAGATATTCTCATCCATATGTTTTCCCAGCCAGGCATTTATAAGCTATATTGGAAGCATCAGGCAGAAAGTTCTATTGCAAATATCAGACATAACTGATTTATTATTAAATCCGCTTTGTATTTTTTTAAATTCCTATTCATTTTTTAAAGTTTTTTAAAAACTAATCTTTAATCAATTGCCTTGTAGAATAAGTTGTTTTTGAAGGCTCACAACTAACTAGCATTTTCATAGACAGTTTTTTGGGTATTGTTGTAGCTTTTTGTTACTTTTTGTTGCTTGTTTTTCTTTTAAACGCCAAAGGGCATAAACATACTTACAGTTTTCTGTAGCCATCTGATAGCAAGTATGCAAGGTTATCAAGGTGTCCTCCTCCTATGTTTTCCCTTAAATAGCTTTGACCTGGAGAATATATTATGTTGATTGGCATGAGAAAGAAGGCTGTGATCTTATTTTTACTGTTTGTTACAGAAGTTTCAAACTTATCAAAGGAAGAAATAGAGGCTTTTTAGATGGCTGCTTGCCAACATCACTAATCAGAATTTTAATGAGTTTTTTTTTCTTTTCAAGGCCTAAATTAGGTCTAATTAACAATATATAAAGCAAATGCATAATGCCATAAGATAGATGCATCCTACTGCATATAGAATGTACTTCAGGGTCTTTACAAAGAGAAATACTGAACAAAACACACATTCTTATGCTGCTTTAAATATATGCAGCTTTTTTTTTTTTTTTTAACTGTTATGCCTTAATTAATAAATTGCCTTTAGAAAATGTGGTCCTTGACTTTTATAGCAACATTGACATCTCCAAAGGAGAATAATGCAGGTGCCTATAGCTGAACCCCCTGTACGGTTCCCGCTGTCTCTGACCCAGGGTCCTGAACCCCCCGTCCGACCCACGCTGCTGT